CACCCCGAGGACTCGAGCGCGCACCCAAAGGATTCTTCGGGGAGCTCCTCTGGGTGCCCCAAGCTGGGGAGCTCAAAGCAAGGTCCCTGCAATGGATTGAGGCATTCCTGAGAGGATCAGAGGTGGAGCTGTCTGTCCTGGCCATGCAGCTCTGGACTGGGCTGTAATTGGCTTCTCAAAGTGGTGCTCCGACTGCAAAAGAAGTGTGGGATTGGGCTTAAGGGATGAGTGGTGATGGTACCATTGGGTGTTTTCTCTGGAGTGGAGTTGTGAGAGCTGCAGGAGTGCAAGGTGTGGGTTCCAGTCCCCCCAGTGTTTGGTTTGCACATGTGCTGGTCAGACACAGGTCCAGCTTCCTCAGTCCTTAACACACCAGAGGGAGAATTCAGGAATGGCACTGTGAAGGTGATTGGTGTGACAGGGGTTAAAGTGGGAAAACTTTGGGGAATTCCTCAGTTTTTCTATTTGCCAAAATTATCCAAACCTCTGCCAGGAAGAGATTGATTGGAAAAGTTGAGGCAGAGATGAAATGTGAAAATGGGGAGATGACTGAAATTGTAATTGCTGAAACTAACTGTGTGAGAGCAGCAGCTCTTCTCGTGCAGGAAAGAACTCCTGTCAGCAGCACCGTCCCGACTGGAGTGGCAGATGGAGTTGTTCCTGTGGTGTGGGCCAGTGGAATTCCAGGAGGATGGACAAGGGCAGAGCCTGTAGGTATTACCATGAAGCTGAGATCTCTCTAGGTAAGGCAACCTCAGTATCCTTTAAAATCACAGTGCCAGAATGTATTGGTTGCAGTAACAGCTAAATTTGCTCATTGTGGTTTGCTTCCAGAATGTGACTGCAAGAACCTGCAGAGAAACCCAGTGGCAAAGAGGATTGATCAGTGCAGGATGTGAGAGAAGCACCTGGAATGACAACTGTGAGTAGTTGGCAGTCTTAGATTTCAAGATGCCCTTTGCTGCATCTCCAGGAGCAAGGCAAGCCAAGAAACCTTTGCTTTTTTCAAGGAGAAAGTGCAGAACTGGGGAAGGAAGAAAAGAAGCCCCCTGAGTCCTCCCTGAGCCACAGGCAGTCCCTGAAGTGCCTTCCTGGGAATGGTAGGATGGTGAGGACTCTGCATTGCTCCCTAGGGATGTGTGGTAAGGCTGATGCAAACTTTGGAAACCACCTGTAAGTGTTTCCTGCCTTGGATAGCTGGTGCAAGGGCAGCCTTTAGGCAGCTCAGGCATTCCCTGAGGAGAGCTCTGGCTCTGCCACATCTCTCTGAACTGTTTGAAGCCCCTTGGTTAGACTCTGTTAGACATGCAAGTTTAGCAAACAGAGCTGCTGTTGATTTTTTGTTACTAGCCCAAGGACACAGCTGTCAAGATTTTGAGGGCATGTGCTGCATGAATTGAAGTGACCATTCTGAGTCTGTTCATGCACACCTTGAAACACAATGGTAGAGGTCAT